CCCCAGCCACACCGTGGGGCTTGTGGGATCTCAGTTCCCTGACCAGGGATTGAACCCGTGCCCCCTGTAGTGGAAGCTCAGACTCCTAACCACTGGACTGCCAGGGATTTCCGAAGGATGGCCTCTTTAGCCTCTGACTTACCTGGCACCTTGGCATCATTGCAGATTTCTGCAAAAGGTCTGAAAAAGAGAAAGATGAGGTGGCAGTTAGAAAATGAGGTTTCTCCTCCTCCTTCTCACCTGCTCCCTGAGTCTGGGCAACATCTCTCATGAGATGACATGAGATGAGATGCCGCCACTGCTGGAACATTAGCCAGGTAAGACCCGGATGAAAACAGTCAGCATCCCCGCCCAGAGCAGGCGCGTGATCGCCAGTCTCGGGACCTGGTTTCCCCTAGAGAGCGAGGGTGTCGTCTGACCAAGTGATCAAAAGTGTGTGCCTAGATTTATGTAAATGGATATTTGAGACAGTAGTATATTTTAATATATCTTTTACTTTTTATTTTATTGATTATTTTACTTGCAGTGTTATTATATGAACCAGCCCCCACAAATTAGATGTAACCTAAATGTCCATCAGTAGAGGACATTATGGTCCATCTAAACAGTCATTAAAGGGAGTTATCATGGAAATGGATAATGGTCAAATACACGCAAGATAGCCAGACAGGAAACAGCAAGTTTTACTTACTGTCTACAGATAAATACTGTTTGATCTCAGTTTCATTTTTCAAAATATATATCTAACAGGCATTAAAAGAGAAGTGGAAACACTGAAGGAAAACCCCAGAATGTCTTTGGTGGTTCTCTGTGGAAAGTATGCCTACAGGGTGTGGGGTGGGCATTTTCTCCTATTTTCCAGAAGTTACTTCAGGGGGTGGACTGTAGTTGGGAAGGAAGGGAAACCTCTACTTTTCATTTGAGACCCCTCTGAATAATTTGATTTTTTTGACACATGCAAATACTATTTTAATTTTAAAACATGGAGTATAAAATTGAAAAGAAAATATGGGTAGAGGAAAAACTAAGAAAGAAATGCACCATCAGGGACTTCCCTGGTGGTCCAGTGGTTAAGACTCTGTGCTCCTGATGCAGGGGACCCGGGTTCGATCCCTGGTCAGGGAACTAGATCCCACATGCCGCAACTAAAGATCCTGCATGCCGCAATGAAGACCCGGCGCAGCCAATAAATAAATAAATAAATATTAAAAAAAAAAAGCACCACCAGTGTTAACTCTGAATAGGAGTGTTATGGGTTATCTTCCTCATTTTTTCTACTTTTTGTATTTTCCCAAGTTTGCTGTGTGTATTGTTTCTAAATCAGAAAATAATCAAATAAACTACCATATTTTTAAAAAAACACTATAAGGATATATAGTAAAATACAGACAGTGGTTGTCTCTGGGGGGTGGGGGTACTGAATTACTGTTATTTTCTAAATACAGTAAAATGGGTAAACATGAGGGGAATAGTAAAAAAAAAAAAAAAAAAATCAAATTTAATTAAAATCAAAAAAATAAACAAATACCCATGAATGCTGAGGCCTTGTGTTTCAGTTGAAAGGGGTTGTAGTCAGGACATCCGGGGTTACAGACTGAATGCTAGTGTCCCCGAAAAATTCAAATGTTGAAACCTAATCCCCAATGTGATGGTATTTGTTGGTGGGGTCTTTGGGAGGTGATTAGGTCAGGAGGGTGGAGCCCTCGAGAACAGGATTAGTGCCCTTATTAGAGGCCCCAGATTGCTCCCTTGTCCCTTCCACCATGTGAGGACACAGCGAAAAGAGGGCCATCTGTGAATCAGGAAGAGCCTCACCAGATGCCAAATCCGCTGGCACCTTGATCTTGGACTTCCCAGCCTCCAGAATGGTGAGAAATAAACTTCTTTTGTTTAAGCTACCCGGTCTGTGGTATTTTGTTACAGCAGCCCAAATGGACTAAGCTACCTGGGTCTAGAGCCCAGCTGACCCACTGTGACTTACACTGTCCCTTTCCTCACCAGTTTCCTGATCTTTAAGATGAGAATGTTAAGCTATTCCATCTCCTGGATTCTGTGCAAGTGAAAGGTCCCTCTCTCTCCTTTTCTCTCTGTCTGTCTCTCTCTCTGACTCCTGGCTGGGCCTGCTTTGGGGGTTCCCCTCCCAGATCCAAGCAGCACCCTCTCCCATGGCCCCCACTACCCTGCCCACCCTGACACAGGTGCTGGGGGCACTCACTGGAGCTGGTTGATGATGACCATGCGGACGTGCTCCCGGGCCTTCAGGATCTTCTCCAGCCGGTGTATGTCATATGTGTTGGGGTTCCGGAAAGGGATGTCATCGGGCAGGCCTGTGACCTCGACAGCATCTGGGCTGTCCCGAATCAGTTTGTAAGGGACGAGCACAGGCCGGTTCAGGCCCAGGGCCTCACCTAGAGGGCACAGGGAGTCAGGGAAGATGTCCCCTGTCAAAGCCAAGCTCTGTGGAGAACGGCTGGGACCCAGCACAGCCCCACTCAGTAGCCACCGCACCACTGAGAGTTTATAAGTCAACACACACACCACTTTTTTTTTTTTTTATCCAATTAGCAAAACTAAAAATCCAGGAGGGGTGGGGGTGGGAAAGAGGGGGAGCTTGGGATTAGCAAATACAGACTAGTATATACAGGATGAATAAACAACAAGGTCCTACTGTATAGCACAGGGAACTATATTCAATATCCTGTGATAAACCAGAATGGAAAAGAATATGAAAAAGAATATATATAACTGAGTCACTTTGCTGTAGAGCAGAAATAATACAACATTGTAAATCAACTATACTTCAATAAAATTAAAAAAAAAAAAAATCCATCGAATTCCCTGGCAGTTCAGTGGTCAGATTCCATGCTACCACTGAAGGGGTCATGGGTTCGATCCCTGGTCAGGGAACTAAGATCCCGCATGCCTCAAGGCTCAGCCAAAAAAAAAAAAAAAAATTCAATATCCAACACTGGCAATGAAACAGGTACTTTCACACATGCCCAGTGCAATGATTTGTTAAGTGTGCACGCCTGGACCTGACAAATGAGGACCTGATGCCTGCTAAAAATCCACTCCAATTGTGTTAGAAAACATAAAAGTCCTTACTTAGGTATTTGTGGCTGAAATGACGGGATGTCTTAGATTTGTTTCAAAGTACTAAACCTATCAAAGTGTGCCTGTGGAAACAGATGAACTAAGATTGGCAAAATGTTGGCAAGCACAGAAGCCGGGTTTGAGTTACATGGTGGGTCATTTTGTCATTCTCTCTGCTTTTGTATATGTTTGAAAACTGATTCCAAAATAAAAAGTGAAAAAGACATCACAAACCACCAGCAGAGTTGCTTCCTGTTACTCCCAACTTGGAGTCCTGACCTGCCCACCTCTCCCCACCCTGTCATCAGGATATCTTCCCACTCCAGGCCCTCCTGCCTTCTCGCTGCTCCCCAGTCACCGAGCTGTTCCCTCTGCCTGACAAGCTTCCTTCTAATGTCTGTCCCCTCCTGACATTCAAGTTCTGGCTAAAACGTCCCTTCTTCCAAGGAGCTTACTTTCTTTCTTTCTTTTTTTTTTTCAATTAATTAAGTAATTAATTTTATTTTTGGCTGCATTGGGTCTTCGTTGCTGAGCGTGGGCTTTCTCTAGTTGTGGCGAGTGGGGGCTACTCTTCGTTGGGGTGCGCGGGTTTCTCATTGCAGTGGCTTCTCTTTTTGCGGAGCGTGGGCTCTAGGCGCACGGGCTTCAGTAGTTGTGGCACTCAGGCTCAGTAGTTGTGGCACATGGGCTCAGGAGTTGTGGCTCACTGGCTCTAGAGAGCAGGCTCAGTAGTTGTGGTGCACGGGCTTAGTTGCTCTGCGGCATGTGGGATCTTCCCGGACCAGGGCTTGAACCCGTGTCCCCTACACTGGCAGGTGGATTCTTAACCACTGTGCCAGCAGGGAAGTCCCCAAGGAGCTTTCTGGTTCACCGATCCAGACAGGCCATGGCTACCCCGTCCTACCCTCATCACACTTTGACATTTTCCTGTTTTCCTTTGTCATTCTCTGAAATTCTTTCTTTTTTTTTTTTTTTTTGTCTTTCTCTGCTACAATACAAAGTGGAGCCAATACTACTAAATTCATCACAAACAAAATGTATGTAGAGCACCTAGTGCAGCCTGGCACCCAGTAATCTAGAAAATGCTCCATTAGTGGTAACTGTATTATCAACTGCACCATCCTGGGTTCTGCCCTGGCACCTGGATGCCTTCTGCACAGGACCTGGCACCTTTCATATATTCCACGGCCAGTTCCCTCCCGACACTGAGCCCCTGGATGGCGGGATCAGATGCCTTCCTCTGCAATCTCAGGGCTGAGTGTGTGTTGGGCAGACAAGCGTCTGCGTGAACAAGCACTTGGCCGTGGGGCACGGCCTCTGACACACAACCCAGCCCTAGAGAAACAGAAATGCTGACCATAGCCATCCCCACTGTGTGCACCACAGATCAGGGTTTTTTCCCCTTTCTTGGATGGGGAGAAAGAAGGATCAGCTCCCATCGGTCTCGGACAGGGCAACTATGTGTCCAGGGAGCGGACAGGCCAGCTGGGGGCAACTGGAAGCCAGGCTGGCTGCACAGGGAGGGGCGCCTCCAAGGAAGGCTGCCCCCCACACCCTGCCCTCCCCCGCCACGCACTGACCGTATTTCTCGTTGAAGAGCTCCTTCACCTGCTCCCGGAGGATCACCTTCTCCCCAAGTCTGTTGGCATCATCTTCATCTACAAGAGGAAGACGAGGGGGCGTGAGGGTCGGCACGGTCTCGGCCACCGGACCTACTCCATCTCCCCCATGGCGGCCCAGACCCTCACCTGCTGGCGCAGACTCTCCAGGGCCCGCCCACTCCCCTGCAGCCTGTTTCTGGCCTCAGCCATCTGTCTGTACATCCATCCACCCGCCCCACATTCTCTGAACACCTTCCCCCGTACAGGGCCCATGTCAGGCATGGGGAACCCTGAGGAGAGGGAGGCCGTGAGCCTCCTCCCAGGAACTCACAGCCTAGCAGGGGTGGCGCCCAGAAGTGCGACGGGGGACACCTCCGAGGAGACGTGGGGCATGAATCGGGGTGCCTACCCCGTCCGTGCAAGTCTGGGGAGGCCCCCTGGGAGAGCAGGATGCTCAAGTGGTCTCTTGGAAGGCAGGTAGGGGTCTGTGATGAGTGGGGTGCGGGTGGGAAAAGACAGCAGGTGTAGGACTGGCCCACGCGTGGCCACTGAAGGGAGAAAGGTCACAATGTGCTGGATGCGGCTAAAGCCCGGGCCGGTGCCGGGGTCGGGGCAGTGATGGGTCCAGCAGTGTGTGCCGGCCTGACTGAGCTGGGCTCTCAGAACTCACCCTGGTTGCCTTGCAGACCAAGAGCCCCAGGCCTGTGACCAGGGAGACAGGCGTGCTTTGGGGGTGTAGGGGCCGCACACCCTTCCGGCCTAGCGTCCAGGGAAGCCCTCCATGGGCACTTTCTGCTTGGACCCCGTGCTCCCCTCACTCCTCTCCTTGGCCTAGAAGAGCAGGGGGGGGTCAGTGGAGCCCCCCAGGGACAGGGCCGGGCTGTGGGGGAGTGAATGGCATGGCGAAGGTCCGGGCTGCGGGATTGTGCCCTGGGCTGGGGAGGGAGCTGGAGTTCCAGGAAGGGCCCCGGCACCCTCTCACAGTAACCACGGGGCTGGGCCTCTGGGGCGGGACCTGGCAGGGAGCCAGGGCCTGGGAGGTGAGGGGCACAGCAGACAGAGTGGGTCTGTGAAGAAAAACAACTCCTGTGTTAATCTGGAAAATCTCACAGAACTCGGTTCCATTTAGGAAGCCAAGGGCTCTGTGCCACTCAGACTGTCTGCTGCCCTCGCCTGCCCTTCACGCCCCGTCCAGCAGGCCCAGCCCTCTCCCTGCACCAACGCCAGGGAGGGGCCTCCATTCCCAGTCCAGGGCCGCCCCTCAGGGCAGAGAGCTTCCCGCACTGCCTGGTTCCTCCTCCCCCTTCACCCGCTGTCCCTGGTCTGGTCCTGTTCTTGCCAGCGCTCCTGACTCTGGAACCTAGATCTGCCGTATCTCGGAGTTCCTGAATCTCTCTCTTCAACCACGGCCTACCAGCCACCTGGGTGCCCACGAGACACTGCAAATGTCAGGCATCTCAGATAACACCCTCCCTCCTGTGTCCCCATCTTGGGGAGTGATGGCTCCCCTCGGCCACACCAAGACCCCAAACTCAGCACCCCCTGGAGCCCTCCATCTTCCCATACACCCCAACATGGCCCTTCCAAATGGTTTTCAGGACCCTGGATGTGGCGAGAATCAACCTGACCCTCCTCCAGGTCAGCAGACAACTAGGACCGAGTGCTGGGCCCCAGGGCCACTTAAGAGCCTGCAGAGAGGTGGAGGACACTCTCTATCTAGCTAACCCCCTGCCACCAGGGATTGCTCTGGTGGCCGGCATTCTGCACAGGCACAGCGGCGCCACACAGGCCAGGGAAAGATCAGCCTGGATTCACCCAACGAGCGCTTGGTTGCTCTGCTGGCAGCTTTCCCGGATGCGGTCGTGGTCACTGCTCACCACAGCCGAGGACACAAAGGTTCAGAGAGGTTAAGTAACCTGCCCAAGGTCACACAGCCGCTAAGTGCCAGGAATACTCTGACTGACTCAAAAGTCCTCGTCTTTCACGCTACCATGCACTCTGGGTTTCCTGAAGTCTCAGTTTCCCATCTGTAGAAAGAAGGGTTGATCTTTAAGGTGTTTCCTCTAAATCTCTTGTTCCATCAGCTCATAGTTCCACGCCTCTGTCTCCTCTCAAACCCAGGGCAGGGCCGGACTCAGTCGGTACATGACAAAAAGCCTTCTGGACTAAAAGACAGCACCTCAAAGCAAGCCCACAAGCTCAGGTCTCCATAGTTGCTGGACACGGCCATCACCTGTGCACCTCTGGGCACGCAGGACTCACTCACCAACACCACCTCCCCCTGCAGGCTCCTGCTGCACCACTGCCAGTGGGTGGAGAGAGATAAAGACAGGGCAGGCCTGGGCTGCACACTGCCCTCGCCTTGTGAGAGACAACGCCAGGCCCCAAAGGGCCACGCCATGTCACCTCTCAGCATTTCAGCTCACTGTCTTGATATAGTATTCGTCTTGGACAAATATTTCACAAGCACCGTCCCATCTGGATGCAGTGCTGCCCTTAGGCATTTAGCAGAGTATAGAGCACAGCCCCAGAGGAGGCAGGGGACAGTGGGCAACACTCGGTGACCCGCTGGCCTTGATAACTGTCGATGCATGGCTCGTGGAAACATGGGGTGGGGGTGGGGACGACCCCAACCCAGCCAGGGATCAAGGAGGGCTTCCCAGAGGAGGTGACACCCATGCCACCCAAGGCCCCGTGGGACGCAGACTCATCTGCACGTTGGGGCTGCAGGCATCCCGTGGGTGCTCAACACATGTTAGGGGACATGGAAAATTCCCCCTCCCCTATGTCCTGTCTGATCTGCCGGGGAGAGCACCCCCAAACCAGGCTGCAGCTGACAGGGGAGGTGTGACACCACATCACAGGGCAGCCAGCATGAAGAGCACACAGGTCAGTCCCAGGCAGCAAACCGTGGCAGCAGTTAAATGTCAGGAAAGTGGGACCTGAGTTGCCTGAGGGACGCTGGTGGCACCGGGAGGTGTCCTGAATGCCTCTGGAGTGTGGTGGGAGTTTAGGGGCCTTTTTCCGTAATACCAAGAATAATCACAGCTGCTGAGTGGACCAAGCACGTCCCATGTGCAGACTGTCAGGCCCACGACGCGCGTTACCACTGGATCCTCCCAGCTCAGTGTTGGGTCTCTGAGAGGATGCCCATGTTTCCCCGCAGCTACTCCTGGCTTCTCCCCCATCTCTTTGTTTTTACTTAATTTGGAGGAAGGGGGTTCCATTTTTCTTAGAGGACTAGTTTTTGTTTATTTATTTATTTATTTATTTATTTTTTGCGGGACGCGGGCCTCTCACTGTTGTGGCCTCTCCCGTTGCGGAGCACAGGCTCCGGACGCGCAGGCTCAGCGGCCACGGCTCGCGGGCCCAGCCGCTCCGCGGCATGTGGGATCTTCCCAGACCGGGGCACGAACCCGTGTCCCCTGCATCGGCAGGCGGACTCTCAACCACTGCGCCACCAGGGAAGCCCGAGGACTAGTTTTTGAACGAAATAGGCCAGGTTAGCCTCTGGCGGGGGCTGGCGGGGAGAGAGGCGCTGGTCCTCTGTGTACTCAGAGGCAACCCCTCGGGTGGTGAGGGTAAAGGAGTGACGCCGTTGCTGGGAGGTTGAACCTGAACCCCAGGTGAAGAGGCCCTGCCCGTGTTCCCGCTTGAGCCCCAGCCCTCCAGCTCCATGCAGGGGGGAGGGCTGAACACGCTTGTGTCGGGGGGCTCGGAGGTGCCCAGGACAGGGCTGGTCTCCTGTGACGTGAATCATGGCCACTGTCCTCAGCTGGCCCCTGGCCGAGTCCTAGCGAGCCCCGGTGTGGAGGAGGAAGCCCATACATCCTGCTAGCCTGCACCTCCAGCCAAGTGGGCCCGTCGGCAGGCTGCGGGCGGGTCACAGGACCCCTTCCTGACAGAGCCAGGCTCCTGTCACCACCGCCACACACCCACCGTCTGGAGAGGGGGTGGCCAGGCCTGGGGTCACCAGGGACCTCCCCAAGGATGGCTGTGGGCAGCGGCTGTCCTAGCCTAGGCTGGGGTGGGACGGTCCCGGCAGCCATCACCTCTGAGTCTGGTCTGCTTGTGGGCGAAACTAGGATCAGGAAACATGAGAACACGGGGAGGGGGGTGAGGCACAATCACTGGGGCCCCGTGGGGCCTCGGCCGTACACCCAATGGTCTTTCCCGGGCTCTGAGGTGTAGCCCTGTTGCCAGGAGTTAAGACCACACTCTCTGAAGTCTGACTGCCTGGTTTCAAATCTTAGCTCTGTTATTAGCTCGTGACCTTAGGCAACCACTGGATTTCCTCGTCTGGCAAGTAGCAACAGGGCTTCCCTGGTGGCGCAGTGGTTGAGAGTCCGCCTGCCAAGGGGACACGGGTTCAAGCCCCGGTCCGGGAAGATCCCACATGCTGCAGAGCGGCTGCGCCTGTGCACCACAGCTGCTGAGCCTGTGCTCTGGAGCCCATGAGCCACAACTCCTGAGCCCTTGTGCCACAACTACTGAAGCCCGCGCGCCTAGAGCCCGTGTTCCGCAACAGGGGAGGCCGCCGCAGTGAGAAGCCTGCTCAGCACAACGAAGAGCAGCCCCCAATCGCCGCAACTAGAGAAAGCCCGTGCGCAGCAGCGAAGACCCAATGCAGCCAAAAATTAAAAACAAAAAACAAACAAAAAAAAACACCTTAAAAAAAAATTAGCAACAACGACCATATGGAGCTGCCGTGAGGTTGAGGTGAGGACGTTGTGCCCGTGCCTGGCACGGTCTACGGTCTAGTTATTACTCTTCTGCTCTGGCGGGGGTGGGGGTCCTGCCTGAGCTTCTCTGAACCCAGGTTGGTTGTAAGGACACCAATGGTTGCAAACATTTCAGAATGTTCTCCATTTGGAAATGTCACAGGGCTCCATGTGGAGTGTGGTGTGCCCTCAATGTACCTGCTTGAATGCCTGTAGACAGTGGGGAGAAAGGGGGTCCCTCAGGGCCAGTGACAGGGAAGTTCCCTGGCCCAGCAGGTTGCAAGGCAATCTTGACTGTAACCCTAATGCTGTGTGGTATTTGGAAAAGCACTCAAC